GCATTTAGTCGTTGACGCGGTCACGGGGCGCGTCCTTCGTCTCATATGCCTCTCGGCTGGGAATACTGTTGTGAAAGACCGAAAGGATCACGTGAAGCACACGCGACTAAAGCGTGATCGCTTGCCACCTGCCATGGAAAACAATTGGATGCATGTATGTCGTTGCTCAACTGGGCGATGGTAGTACCGTGAATGTACATATATCTGCCTTGGACCCCGGTCCGCCGTACCTTTCCCTTCACCCCTTGCAAAAGCTCTCAGCTGATCGATGTCGCAAACATTCGCGCGGACACACTTACTCTCTTATCTATATTGCAGCGCGCAACTAACATGGTAGGCCATATCGAGGGCAATCAGGTGCTCATTGCCTTAGCGGGCTATACCCCCGGCAAGCCGATGTAACCAGGAGCATCTGCGAGGAGGCCGTGCTGAATTTTCTCACCACTTCAATCGATCTTCACTAAGAAGGCCGACCATTCACCACACTCGGACACGTCTTTGGCATTTCGGTATTAACCCGCAATGTCGTTATCAACATCAGCACAGGCCCGCGCAGCCTTGTAGGCGGAGAGTTCAAGTTCCTCATTCGGAACCTCTAGGAGTGCAGGCGCAGGTTAGTCGATCGCAGGATCGGCATAGCCAAAAAGCGCAATGCTGATGTGTGTTGGAGACGTCTACCTGGCGCAAAGCCAGCTGACTCTTCTCGTAACTGACCCAAACCCGATGCAGATCGTCGCATGACGATTCGACGCCTCGAATGTGGGAGGCTTTACCGAAGTGGTGGCTTACTGCACCACCGTCAAGTTCACAAAGTATCAAGTGCTTAACGTAGTCAAATACCGTAACTTTCTCAAAAGAGCAGGGGCCATCTTTATACCCAAATCTATGATTTCCCAAGATCTTTTGCCCCTCCCAAGGACACAATTGCTCCCATGACACTTTCCCATGACACCGCTTTTACTGCTCAGCGACAATGAGACTTGCCTTGCCGTACCCCGTTCCGCAGCACATGGTAGCAACGCCAATGTCCTTGCCTGTCCGCCTGAGCTCGGTGAGCAGGCTTAGTACTAAGCGCCCGCCCGATGCACCAAGCGGATGCCCTAGCGCGATGGCACCGCCTTTCGGGTTCACACGCTCCGCGTCTAGCTTGAGCGTGTCGATAGTCATCAAGGCTTGAGAAGCGAATGCTGGTTTGAGATGGACACAGGAGGTATAAGCAGGGGCTCATTGAATGGTTCACATGGGTTCATTCATACCTTCGTTGAGCTCCCAAAGATCGATGTCATTGACAGTCAGTCCAAAGCGCGCCAGCAAGATGGGCGATGCTACAGCTGGGCCAATACCTGCAACGAATATATCAACATCGTTAGTTCAGCTGCGTTCAGAAAACACAGCATGAGATCCCATGTCGGTGAAGCGTAAAACGCACCCATGACATGTGGTTTGACTCCCTTGACAGCTGTGCCGACCCATTTGCCGAGGATCTCCATGCCTGCCTGCTCTGCGAAATCCCTTCTGGCCATGGTAAGCGCAACCGCGCCATCGCTGACTTGTGAGCTGTTCCCTGCCGTGCTGGCTCCGTTTTCCCTGAACACGGGCTTGAGTGTCCCCAGCTTTTCCGCCGAGCTGTCATGCCTAATTCCCTCGTCCTCTGCGATGGTTTTGACCGTCTCCGTGCCGCTCTCAGGCTCGACCCAGCGCACGAGTATAGGCTCGATCTCTGGTGCAAAGAGTCCGGCCTTCTGAGCTTTACTGGCGCGCTGGTGCGACAGAGCAGCGAACTGATCTTGCCGTTGCCTGCCGATATTCCAATGCTCTGCAACACGCTCGCTCGTCTCTCCCATTGGCATGATACAGTCGCGTGCGTCTTGTGAAGCCGATTGTTTGAGCGTCGGACTGAGGTCGACAGGGATGGCGCGCGAGCCATAATTGCGGGTCATGCTCTCTACACCCGCTGCAACACCGCATTGAATTTCTCCGCTCTTGATGGAATGTGCAATGTCGGTAATCGATTGCAGCGAGCTCGCGCACTGACGGTTGACAGAGCGATACGCCGATTCGATGGGCATGCCAGCATGTAGCGCTGCCATCCTGCCGCTTTTGGCGCCTCCGAGCTCCATCAGCACTGTACCCGTGCAGATGTCCTGGACGGCATTCTTGACATCTACGCCTCGCTTCTCCAGTCGCTCGCGGGTCTTCTGAAGAACATGCGCTAACAGCTCTTCCGGGTAAGCATCCTTGAGGCCCTTCTTCACGCGTGCGATGGGCGTGCGCAGGCCGGTGGTGAAGACAATATCGTCTGGACGCTTCTTGAGGATGTTAGCCAATGCCTGGCGGCTGACAGGGCTTGCTCGGAATGACATGACGGACGGCCAGTCGTGCAGCGCCTGGGACCTGGGGGCTTGTCCGTGCCGTTGTAGTTACTGTGCGTCTCGGCAAACCAAGAATTATCCGCCCACCTGATGAGCACCAGTCTCGGTATATATACCCTCATGCATGGTCTGTCGGTGCGTATCTTCACCCAGGTCGTCTGAAGGAGTGTTTGAATCTGTCGGCCGATTGGATGAAATTTCCGCCGTGGTTTCCGGTTTCTGGAAACCTCCGGATAATGGAATGCTAGAACGCTCAACGCTCGGAGGACAGTATATTCTACTTCAGACTGGAAGAGCACACGTCCAAGAGCCCTTTCTTCATGGGGCGAAAGCATCAATATCTCTAATAGTCCATCCACCTCCCTTCTCTGATAATCATCAATCATAGATGTGCACAGGACGCCCACAATCGCTCTACGAACTATGACGGAAGCGCGACCCCGCCGTGCGCCAGCGAGGTATGCATCTGAACGCACCGGATGAGGTGTGGATTCCTCGAATGATGATTAAGTCCTTGCACACGAGGTGACTGCCGACCAAGAATAAGTGCGCAGACGATCAGTCCATAGTCAATTGCGACGCTCCTCAATTATGAATTCGGTGCTCACGTCTTTATAGGATGTCACGGATAAGAAAGGAGCGTTGCGCCCGCAGTGATGGGCCTCCAAATTGAATGCTCGAATGCTCAAATAATAAGTACAGCAAACCTTGGCTTTACATGTCTGAATTTCGACTAGGCCACTTGTAAAACTTTACGACATCACTTTACTGCTTGCTCGACTTTCGTCGGCTGAGCAGCCCTTTGATGCTGGATGTGACCTTCCCTGGCACAGGGGGACTTAATGGTCGCGCGTTTGCAACTGCAGCCGTCGTTTCGTGCGCGTTCGCATGATTCGGGGTTTCAGAAGAGCCGTGCTTTTGGATTCCTTGGTGGACTGGCGTGCTATCGGGGCGTCTTGGCGGTGGAGGGTGGCGGTATGGGATGCCAGGATCTGATCGATTTGAAGCGGTGGATACTTCACGATCGCGGATGGTCGGCAAATTGGGAGAGAGGCAGGCTTTGCCCTCTGAAGGTACCATGAGACTTTGTTCCGGGTCGCCGCCGACAGTCTCGCGTGCAACGTCGCTCGATGACAATACGACAGGCAAGTCTGTTCGTATGATCCTGACATCGTCCTGCAGGAGAGGCGGTAGGTGCCTTGAAGATGCAGGACCCGGGAACGGGGTAGACAGCCTCTGGGCAAAGTCAGCTGCACTCTGACTGAGCGATTGTCTTCTGTGTTTCATATGAAAAGGTGACGACTTGCGATTGAGCGGCGACGACGCTCGCACGGGCGGTGTGATTCCTCGATGGATTATGCTTGGGCTCTTGCCGCGTAGTGGCGGCGATGTGGTAATACTGAGCGTCGAGTCATCGTAGCCAATGTTGGCGATGCAACCTCCAATTGGAGAAGCAGTCTCCTTGCGCAGCCGTTCGCGCTCGATGGATGCTTCGCGCTCTCGTGCTTCAGCCTCATCGAGCAGCAGATACATAGCGCGGGCTCCGCCCAATTGGCCCTTGGCTTTCCGCTTGGCTCGCTCCTCCTTGCGGCGGAGTTCTGCCTCAATTGAGGCTCGCAGGGCTTGGTCCACGGCGGAAGCCTCACGTGAGGCCTCGTTGGGCGTAAGACTTCGAGGCAGATACGCATATGCGTCCGGCGACAGAGATCGATAAGGAACCTGAGGTGTTGGGCTTGTGGAAGGGGGCCGAGGCGAAGGCGTCGGATGCACAGGCGCCGACGGAGGCGACGCGGAATTCTCCTCAACCATGAGCTCCGACTTGGAGTGGCTCATGTGCAGCTCGTCGGCCTTGACCTTGTGAGGTGGAATAGAGAAAGGGTTCGGCATTTCGATGCTCTGACTATTGAGCTCCTCAGCAACAGGAACCTCGTCTGTGGGTCCGTCATCGTCGTCATTGAGAGGGAAGGCGGGTCTGCCGTCGGGTCTGGGGAGAGGATGTTTAGATGCGAAACTGCCTGGAAGCCGGGGTGTTGGAGACGGGGAAGACAATCTGAGGATGTCACTGCCGCACATATTGACCATATCCGGAGAATTGACTCTGACTTGCAGAATCGCTTCACGGCGTGCAAGGCGTTCCTGCGCGTCCATGTTCTGCTCAGCAAGGATTTGAGCTGCTTGCCGATCGCGAATCCATTTGGCTTTTGCCGTTCGGCTGAAGGGTATCTCATAGTCGGGAGAAAGGCCGTGGAGCAAGCGAGGAGTGCAGTCTTTGCAGCTGCACGTTTCGTTGAGGGGTATCAGCCTGCCGTCGCTGAGATGACCGTCACCTTCGTCGGTCCCGCCAGCCCCATCCGGCTGCCCTCGAAACGAGGTCAACTTGGCCATAAGTCTATTGGAAGACCGCCCTAGAAGGCTGGGGCGATGACCCTTGTGCTGCGCCACCGATGGCTCCGCATCTTCCATTCTTGGCAGGATGGGAGAAAGAGACATGTGAGAGAATTCGGTCCCGCCTACCACAGTCTCCAGTTCGGAAGCTCCGTCTTCTGGTAGAACAACAGGTGGGCCTTCAGTGATATTCACTGCACTCTCCGGCGCAGAAGGGGTGGAAGGGGCGGGTGTGGAGCCAGTAGCTGACGGTAACATTGACAATGGCGCTGGTGCTGGTGCTGTAGATGTGATCGTTGAAGTTACGTCGCCGTCGGTCGTAAAATCAGGGCCAAAGCTTAAGGCTTTCATCACCGCGCGAGGCGCGACAACGCGAGGTCCTGTTCCCCCTTTGCTCTGATGTATCAGTGGAAACATAGGGTCGGAAGATGCTTGTACTGTTAGCCCTAGCTTGCTTGGCGACGACTGCAGCAGGGCGGCGTTGCGCGTGTTCTTGACCGTCAGCGCATGCCAATCGAGCCCCGCACCACCCTCAAAGCGAGACGCTTCCTGCTCCGAGCCCTGGGGCTCCTTGTGCTTCAAACAGCTCTTGAGCTGCAACACAACTTCTCCTGAACCAGGTAGTGATGTAGGCGAAGAAAAATTTAGCAGTTCGGATTGAGGGATGTTGCGCTTTCCATCTCTTGTTGATGCTTCAGCCACTCTGCCATCGGCTTCAGACCGGGTCTGAAGGGATTGCCTAGAGTCAACTGAGATGTCCCAGGTTGCATGGCATATTTCCTTGCTCCTTGATCCTTCGAAGTTCAACGGCGGTTCCGATACCACTGGTCGTAACTCTGCACCGCCTAGAAATGTCATGTCCACTGGAGGTCTATGTCCGCTTTGTCCATAACTAGGGTAGTCCTTGAGAGCCGGAAGAGCATCTAGACCGGGAGGAGCAGAGATTTTGCGCAGAGCGAGCAGGGAAGCCTTCGACCTCGGGCCGGAAGCAGTGGAAGGCGACGACAGTGCATCTTGAGGCACCCGGACTTCATTCGCAGGTGCTGCAGGGGGCTGGGTTTTTTTCAGAGGTTGAAGCTTGCCGCCGGTCCGGCTACCACCAAACAGACTGCGCTTGGAGGAATGAAAGGGATCTTGCGGGCTGTTTTTCGAAGTCAAGAGTCATTTTCATACTCGACCTCGTGTGGACTACCACGGTGCGATACCCACATTACTTCGCAGAACCCGCAGAAAGCCGTCCTCTTAACTGTACAAGCATGGCTTGCCCCACCACCTCCCGAATCGACATGGCGCCTGTCGAGGCCTTCACCCTCGAGTGCCATCAGATGAGTGCTCGGATTTTTCATCGTAGGAATCATAAGTAAGCTGAAGGAACGTCCATCATCTGAACCTTGGAAGCTATAGGAGATCTGTCGTCAGGATTAAAGATGAATAGCGACGGCGTCCCTCAGCGATGGAGCTCCACTGCTCCCCGCCTCGAGCATCTACAGTGCAGGTGCCATAATGTCGGAGAATGCGTCAGGGCAGGCCGCTCGAATCGGCATCACCTCTTTGATAGATAAGCTGTTACCTTCGCCGGTTCTGATTCCGTGGTGAATGAGTAGCACACCATGTAATAAGGTAAATTGATGAAACAGTTGCTCGAGTGGAGCGCAAAACGCCGCAGCGTGGTGGCATCCCAGGAGTCGCCCCTGCGCGGTTGGCTTTTTGAGCGCCTCAAGCGCCTATAGAGACGTTGACACATTAACGTCCACCACGAGGAGGTCTCGCCTTGACTGAGAATCTGAGAGCGAGTCATTTGACTGCTTGCTCAACATTGTATCGGTGCTACCAGTGTACATTCCTGATCTTGCCGATCCAGTTCTGATACTACGCAGATTGCAATGCCATCATGCGCGCTGTCAAAGGGACGCTGCTGACCTGGTATGTGGCTCCGTTTCTGGGAAGCAGTGAGATGCGCCAGATTTCCACTGACCATTCTTTGCAATGTCTGACACGCTCAGCGATCCAGCGGTCAAGCAGCTCATCCTCGTCATTAACGAGCAGATGGTCTTCGTCATCGAAGATCTGGATGAAACGCATCTGCTCATCGACCCGTCGATGGTAGAGGCAATGAGGATACGGCTGGATGACGAAGTGAGCGCTTCCACCAGGCCTCTTCTCTTCTTCATGCAACACCTAACCATGGTTCTCTTCTTCCCCAAATTTTCAGCTCGAGAAGAACACGTACACGCTGGAAGTGTAGGGAGTTGAGGATCCAGCTTCTTCAACCTCTTTCATCGTCCCACACGTCCAATCTCGGCGCTCGCTCTCCCGCACGCCTTGCCCTGCCATTGTAACAAATAATTATGGCGATACAGCAGGCACAATACATGCGGTTCCCAACCCCAACGTCGCTCACGGGTTATCCACATGCAAGTTTCTCGTTCGGAAGTAAAGGTGCTCGCATGCCTTCGTCGCAGCTTGTTCTGATGAAAAATTACTACCGTAGAGCGACCCACCCCACTGCACATGAGCTGCTAACGATTGGCAATCCGCAGCAGGTCTCCAAGTCAGCTCTTCAGTATGCTTGCACAGACTACATCGTCTCTGTGGCATCATTGGCTGGCCTTTCGAACGCATTAGGATCGGCATCACTACTCCGCCTCGCCACTGAGCACGTAAGTCCGCAAGCCTCAGACCAGGTCATGCACAGCGTGGACATTCTCAAAACGGTAAAGCACCGCTTACTCGCGTGCATACCTTCAATGCATCCATGTAAAGCCTATGTACCGTCTTTCATGCATCTCCTTCGCGCTCCACTTGGTCAAACAGACAGCGACCAAGTCACCATGGGGTGGTTAACCGCTTCCTTTGTTTCCTTTGTTTCTTTTCCAAATATCATTTTGAGGAATGAAGTGCGTATGATAGAAGGTGCATGAACTCTAAGGCGGAACGAGCCTTCCGCTTATCCTGAATTTTTTGTCATCGATCATCTTCCCTATATTCAGCAGGAACCTCATCATCTCATTGTCGTTGCAGCCGGTGACCTCACGCGTGCAAGCGAAGATTGGAAGTTGCACAGCCTGTGCCTCTTGCATTTAACGGAGGATGAAGCGCAAAGCGAGCGGTTCGGCTCGAGGCACGCAGCCGACGGACAAAAGATTTGCGAGAGAAAAGGACTTGACTTCCTCTACCTCGTACAATCCTGCGAACGAATCCCTTGAAGAGGACGATGAAGGGTCAAACAGTGGCTTCGAAGACCTGGAAGCGGAGAATGCTACAGAAACCGGTCTCTCGGGTGGATCGTACGGGGAAGAAGAGGACGGCAGCGAGATGGAGGGCGGCTTCGTCGATCTAGAGGCCGAAGAAGAAGACAACGCGGAGGGTGACGATGTCGTCGAAGGCGAGCAAGGGGATTCGATTGGAGCAAACGCAGATGATGCTGAGGCAGGAGCCACTACTAATGCAACTGGCAAATCAAAGCGTATCTCGTCGCTGTACGCAATCCCGACCAACGAAGAAATGCAGGGACTTCGAGAAACATCTGAGCTGTTCAAGAACAACGTGATCAAATTGCAGGTGAGCGGGCATAGTTCCACGAGGCCACCTCCGCTCGTGTACTCACCGTGGTTCTTGGCACGCAGATCGAGGAATTGCTTCAAGAAGTACGACCCTCTTACGAAAGGGCTGGTGCTCTCGAGCTCGTCCTCCGACGGCTTCATCTTCTGCTTTCTGGACTGCCCTCTATTGAGCAACAGGCACTCCCTACAGCCATCGAAGCGGCCCAGAAGCTCTTCAAATCTTTCTCATCGATCTCAATTCCATTCGCAGACCCCGCACCACGTACTGACGGAAAAACGCAGCACAAATTTGGCTTTGCACCTCCTGAAGGGCTCCATTTGGTTGGCAGCTGGCCACTCAAGAGCGCCACAAAGCGTCCCGAAGGTATGGACGTCGATGTCGCTGTGATCATGCCTTCTCGTCTGTTTCAGGAGAAGGATCACTTGAATCTTCGATATGCGCACAAAAGGGCCTTCTTCCTTGCTGTTCTGGCCTCGGCCATTCGAGACGCTTCACAGCCGTCGTCGACAAGAAAAGTGGAAAAAGCTGGGGAGTCGAGTGAGGCAGGGCTACCAATAGGGCTGTCGTGGGAGCTTTTGGACGCAGATCCGCGCCGACCCATTCTGGTCCTCACTCCTACACACGGCAAAACAGATGCAGACTTTAGCAAGCTCAAAGTTCGAATCCGCATCCATCCTGCGTACGATCCCGCATCTATTCCATTCAACTTTTCACGACTCGCTCCAAGCCGCAATTCGATTCGTGTCAACGTAGCTGCCTCGTCTACAGACGCCATGGAGGATGTGGACGATATTGACCACCTGTCTGTCTCGTCTGCTACGGCCATTTACAATACAACGGTCCTAATGGACGGCTTAGCACTTGCCCATCTCGTGTATCTGCACAAGACTGCGCAGGCTTGCCCATCTTTCCAAGACGCCTGCTCGCTCCTCAAGACCTGGGCCTTTCAGCGCGGCTTTGGATCGGGTGCAGGAAGGAGGCGCAAGGACACCAAAAATGCAGCTCGTGATTACCGGTATATGCTCGTTGGTAGTGGCAGTGCGCGGTTTATCCTGACCATGATTCTCGCGCATCTGCTGCATGGCGAGGCGAAGAAGGGAACAACAACGGAGAGAGCCAAGTTATCCAATGGGCTGAGTAGCTATCAACTCTTTCGTGGGGTCTTGGATTGGCTCTCAAAGCATGACTTTGCCGCTTCCCCGGTGGCGATGAAGCATATCGAGGGCATCCCGTCGATGCAAGCGAAGATTCCTGCCGATGACTTCCGCAGGCATTTCGAATGCGTACTTGTTGATCCGACCGGGTGCATCAATCTCCTCGCATCCTTGCCGGTAGGGAACATCAACAAGCTCCAGTATGAAGCGAAGCGTACCTTGACTCTCATGGACGATGGTGAAGGAGACAACTTCGGCACCGTCTTCTTGTCAGACCTCTCTGCGCCTTATTTCTCATTCGACGAGGTGGTGCAAGTCGCGCACGGAGCAATCCAGAAGCTTGCCCTAGTGGAAGGCGACGGGGCGAAAGTCTTGCAGGCGCTGGCCAGGGCCGACATCGGCGGTCGTAGTGCATCCGCATGCAAAGAAATGGTCTCAAACTTGAGGCGAGGCCTTGCGGATCGTGCAAATGTCGTAGCGGTGCTCGCAAATGCTGACGAGGCTAGCGGCTTGGTCCGTCTGTCAGAATTCGAAAAGGCGGTCGCTCCAAGCTCTCAAAACATAATCGGTATCTCATACAACATCGAAAATGCACTGCGCATTGTAGACCATGGACCTGCGCCCACTGACGCAGAGGTAGCTGCCTCCTACCGCAAGTTCTGGGGTGACGTGGCTGAGCTGCGCCGCTTCAAGGATGGACGCGTATTGGAGAGTATCGTGTGGAAGTCCACTGCTGCCACGCGGCGATGGACGGTGCCACGCCAAGTTGTTCAGCACGTGCTTGCGCGACATCATGGCATTTCATCAAAGGATATTGTCTTCTTCGGAGCCTCTTTCGACGGCTTGCTCGACGTGGATCGCAATCTCTCACTCAAAGCATTCCTGTCTTCGCCACAGGAAAAAGGCTTTCAGCTTGTCCAAGCTGCTTTTGCCGATTACTGCAGAGCTTTGCGATCGACGGACATGCCGCTCTCGCTCAGCAGCATTGTTCCGACGAGCTCGGCGCTTCGAGGTATGAGCACATTTGTACCCGGTCCACTCAACGTCAACGGCTTGGGAACCAAAGTACCAGATGTGGCATCTTACCTCCCAGCTCAACAAGTGGTCCTGACATTTGAGAGCTCAGGCCGCTGGCCGGATGACCTGGCGGCTATCCAACCCATGAAGGCTGCTTTCTTCGAGCGCCTAGCCACCTCGATAGCGGACAAGGTCCAGGGCTCGCTTGCTCGGGTCCTCTTTGATGCCCAGGCGCCTGATCTAGCCGATTGCTGCGCTTTGGAGGTAATCATGCCAACCGGCTTTGCCTTTCAAGCAAGGATCCATCACGATCGTGAGAGGGTGCTATTGCGACGGATCTTGGACGACAAGCTTGGCGAGACTCCGAAACGCAAGAATCTCGCTCGGTCTGCCTTGGCGCTTCACGACAGACGTTTCACCCATGCTTCTCGTCACCACATCGCCATGAACATCCTTACCCACAAGTTTGCTGCGCTTTCAGAGACGGTACGGCTTGCAAAAAGATGGGTCGCAGCGCAAATGGTAGGCTCACACGTTCCAGAGGAGAGTGTCGAGCTGCTCTGTGCAAGTATCTTCCTTAGCCTCGGTGACGCAGCTCCTGCTTCTGGACCATCAGGGTATGTCCTTTTCCTGCACAAACTCGCTTCTTGGGCTTGGCGCGAAGAGCCGGTGGCGGTCCCTCTGTTCACGGCATCGCAAGCTCCGGAGGAAACCAAGTCAGCAGCCTTTCCAGAACATATCTCAAGGCAAGTCAGTCAAGCGTTCCAGCGCACAAGGAGCTCAGATCCAAGTCTCTCGCAGCGTGCGTGGTTCATTGCGACCGAGCAAGATGTTCAGGGTAGCTGCTGGTCGGAGAGCCGCCCTTCAGTGATGATTGCAGACGCCCTGCGGCAGCTGGCACGAAGTAGCATCGAAATCCTCAAGACACCAGCTGCTATTCCGGCGATACGAGAAAAGGTGAGCCTAGATTATAGCTTCAACTCTAAGATAGTGTAAATAGTTGAATGCTCTTTTCTTTTCCTTTGCAGATCTTATTCACGCCGCCTACCGCAACGTATGACTTTCAGATTCACCTCCAACCGCACCTACTGCCACGCTACAGCGAATCTCTCGTGTACACCGAGGCAAAGTGGGATCCGTCAGTGGCATCGCATGAATATCGCAACTTGTCTGCCGCTAATCAGCGCTCCAGCATCCTTGGCCATGAGCCGAGGCCTGGCTTCGACAGTTTAACAGCCTTTGCACAATTATTGGAGGCGAGTGTACAGTCGAGAGTTTGATATCTACTCTTTGAGCGACAAGTCAGGCTGACTCCTTTTGACATCGCTTTCCAGCACCTCTACGGCGATAGCTTCAAAGTTTTCTACGACCCGCACGGCGGTACGACCATTGCGGGGCTTTGGAATCCGGCGCTGAGCAACGAGCGGCCGCACAAGGTCGCGCTTGGCTTCTCCAGCGAGCCCGTTATGAAGGCTGATGCGCAGAAGGAAGCAAAGGCCAAGTCGATTCGCATCAACCAAGCGGCGATCCTCGCAGAGGTTGAGCGTTTGGGTAAAGATTTGATTGTAAAGATTGAGCGCAAGTAGAGGCACATCCGCCATGCAGTGGATAGACAACTTGCATGTGAAAGGATGACTGTGACGGAGCTTGTTTTACATTTTGGTGGACCCACAGCATTGAACAAACCAGACTCGCAAGCGGCATGGAGAGATATTTGTGCATTCATTGACCGCCTCGCGCACCGCCGAAGACCTTGAAGTGCCTGTTGAACTCGATCTCCAATGCCCGACCACCGTAGACATAATGGTTGAACTTCGTGATCGCCGTCTCTGCGTCCTCGGCCGAGCTGAATTGGACGACGCCCTGGCCCTTCGATCGGCCGCCTTCGAAGAGAATCTCCGCCTCCTCTACGCGCGAGATGGTCTGGAAGAGCTCGACGAGGTCCTCGTCTGATGTCGACCACGGTAGGTTCTTGACGAAGATCTGCGTGCTTGGCTCCGATGGTGGCAGTGGTGCGGCGCTGCTGCTGCTGCCACCGCCTCCACCGCCGCCAAAGCTGCCCGGGCCACTGCGACTTCCGGAGAACCCACCACGCATGCCGCCACGGCCCCCAAAGCCGCCGCGGAAGCCACCAGCACCACCGTAGCTGTTGCCGCCATAGCCACCCATCATGCCCATGCCTCCCATGCCCATTCCCATGCCCATTCCGCCAGGGGCGAAGCGGTCCTGATAGAAGAAATGCCAAAGTGTAGAGCTGTTGAGAAACAGACAGCGGCACCCAAACATCCGATCCAAGGTAAGCTCACCAATCTGACTTCAAGGTTCCTGCCGTTCCAATTGTAACCGTTGAGCTGCTGGATGCAGACTTGTGCTTCGCCAGGGTCGGCGACTGTGACCGTACCACTTCCCTTGGAGCGACCATCGGGCCCTTGGTTGACGTCCGCACGAATGGGCGTACCGCCTGCTTGTCTGATCAGGTCCTTGAGATCTTGCCAGCCAGCTTCGTACGGGAGCTTAGAGGATGGGGTCCGAGAATGAATGAGGAAATGCTGCTATGCGGTTCGACAAAGAATTGGCAACTCACATTATTGATGAAGAGCGCAGCGCCGCCGCCCATACCGCCCATACCACCCATACCACCCATACCACCCATCATGCCCCCTCGACCACCCATGAAGCCTCCACGTCCACCCATGGGCATGCCCATCATCATTCCGCCTCGGCCAAAGGGCGATGCAGGTTGGCCGTAGCGCGCCTCGTCTTCTCGGTCCTGTTACAGGAAAGAATTAATGTTCAGTGATGGAGGTGAGATGCAGAGAGGCACGGTTCGAACCAACCTCTCGAATGAAGACAGTGCGTCCGTTAAGTTGCGTCTCGTTTAGCGTATCGATCGCCTTTCTTGCCTCCGCCTGCGTGGAATACTCAACAATGCTATCACCGAGGGGGTTGCGCAATGAGGTCCGGCACAGAGAGATAACGAGTGCGTTAGCGACTTAGACGCCTCTCAGGACGTCGCGCAATGACTCACCCGCATCCCTTTGACATGCCGTTCGGCAGCGTGATGACTTCGGCAAAGACAACATTTCCCGCTAACCGGTGCGCAACCAAATAATTGTAGCACGCGACGCAGCACAGCGTCAAACCCAAGGCCAGCAGTAATCCTTCGCGTCAGCTTTCCGTCCCCACGCTCTCGCAAAAAATCTCCACGCCAATCCACATCTCAGAAGGCAATTCCGCGCCCAAGGTCCGAATCCAAGTCTACTGCCGCTTGCGCTTGTGCGTGTGCAGCTTGAGCAACAGTCGCTGCCTAGCATGTAAGGCGCTGGTGCTACTGTTGCTCTCGCCATTGTTCAGCCAGCGGCAGCTTGAGAGCGCGTGGATAGCGACAGCTCGACAAGAGGTAGTCGGCACGCTGCCAGCTTGCCAGAGTGAAGTATTGGAAAGAAGAAAGTAAAGAGTGGTCGGAATGAAAAAAGCTCGACCTGACCGCGCTTTTCACCGTGGTCCCTAAATGCTGGTCCCATCCAAGCGAACCACGACCAAACCCGAATCCAAGTCCCAATCCAGGTGCAAAACCGAATCCAAATCCAGGTACCCACCCTCCCGCATGAAGTCCTTGAGATGGTTCCACTTGACGTCGTAGGCAAGGTTGCCTATGTAGACTCTGTTTTGCTTCTGACTCCTCTTGGCCGCCTCGACGGCCGCTTTGGCGGAAGGCCCGGACATCATCATCATCCCGGTAGCGGGGCCGCCATAGCCTCTGAACCCGCCGCCGCCGCCACCACCACCACCGCCTCGCGGTCCTCGGTAGCCGCCACGGTAGCCGCCACTTCCGCCGCTACGTTGTGCGTCGCCTGCGCCGCCAGAGTGGCTGCCGCCGTCGGTGCCGTCGTTGGCGGCTCCTTGATGCGGATCATCCGACGCATCCATGCGGCCGCCGCGGTCGTTTCCGTTCTCGTGCTCTGGCTTGGGCGAATAATCGCGTTCGCGCTCGGATCGTCGCGTGTCGCGATCCGGCGACCACTCGTGCGCTCCACTGCGGTACGGCGAGCGCGAGCGTGATCGCGAGCGTGCATGCTCTTCCTTTGTGGTGACTGGTGACATGGAGAGGGAGAAGAGGATGTAGTTGATGTATTGCATGGTTGGGACAATGGCACGCAATGCAGAGGTGGGGAGGAGAGTACGGAGAGGGGATGGCAGTCAGCGTCTGTGTCAAGTCAAGGCTAGTCAATAGAGCCGGTCGACAGGTGCGATCAAGCGTGAAAGAGAGACTGGTCCCCGATTCTCCCATGGCAGCCATACTTCCGAAGCGCTCAGAAGAAACGGGTACAAGAGAGGCACCGCTTTGTAGCACACACTGACAGGTGTGAGAAGATCTGCGCGACCCGCGGGGGACCGGGTGCGTGTGCGGGAACGGCGCGCGTGCAAGCCGGCGCTGTTGGCTGTGCTTTTCTCATCAATATTCCAAAGTGCAGACTCACCGCTGTCTGTCATTTCGTGGTTCTGAGCTCAGCCGCTGCCTCGATTGTCCGTTTCCTCTTACTCTTCGGTCGAGCGAAGGAGGCCTACTCGCCGAGTGCTGGTGCAAATTGTATGTAGCGTGAAATCCCGAGTTGGCCGTGAGCCCCTCGTTTCCTCGTCAACCAGATTCCAGCTGAAGCTCGATACGTGGGGAAGTTCGTTGCGATCCAAGCGGCGTGGGTAGAGTCGCAACCTGCTGGATGTGGTTGCACTTCTGATGATATGAAGACAGGATGCGGTATCGCGAGAGGGAGAGACGTGAACAATTGACAGACAGCTTTCGTCTCTCAATTTGGGACTTGGCTTGGGAAGGGCGGAAGTAACCCTACTTTGTAAAACAGATGAAACGTGTAGAGTGGCGCAGTGCCGTAACCCGCACTCCCTCTCCTTATTTGTTCTTCGAATGTGTTCAGTTCGCGGACATGGCATCCCACAACGGATTAGACACTGACTCGAGGCTCGACTCACCTCGTCTCGCCTCTCTCTCTTCCTGCTTCTCCCTTCAACCAGGCACCATTCAACCCTCCCAGGGCCAACACAGTTTACAAGCTGACACGGGCCCGTAGACGATCAGCGCTGGCCAGCGGAAAGACCGCTGCGACCGCTGCCTTCGCCATGGCCCCTCCATCACTTCCTCTCACGCGCTCTCCGTCGTCGACAGCCGAATCGGACTCGACGCTGAGCACCAACCCGACTGCGACAGCCACACCCTCCATCGGCCTTTCGATGGGCAGCAACGCTTCCCTCACCAGCCTCGAGGACAGCAGCAGCAGCGTGCCCAGCTCTCCGTCTGCGTCTACCATTCTTCATGCCAAAGAGCAACACCTCACTCGCATGGCCGCCGCTAGCGGCGGTGCCTTCGGCGCAAGTACCTCTTCTACGCCCCACGTAGTCCCCGGCGAGCATCCTCTCAAGTCGCGCCGGGCGCCAACTACAGGCTATCGTTTCTCCACCATCTGCGCCACCATCGATGATCCTGCGCACCATGACCAGTACGGCGCCTCGTCGACGCCGATTTACATGTCCGCCACATTCAAAGGCCCGCCAGGCGCCGAGTTCGACTACTCGCGCTCAGGCAACCCTACGCGCAGCATGCTGCAGCACCACCTGTGTCAGCTGCAGAACTGCAAGTTTAGCTTCGCTGTCAGCTCCGGCATGGCCTGCCTCGACGTCGTCACCCGGCTGCTGAAGCCGGGCGAGCGCATCGTCGCCGGCGACGACCTCTACGGGGGGACGAACCGCCTGCTCGGCTACCTCAAGTCGCACGGCGGCGTAGAGACGGATCACGTAGATACTACGAATGCCGAAAAGGTGGAGCAACTGCTCGAGCAGCGAGCGAAGGACATCACGGCTGGCACGCCGGGGATTGGACCCGTCAAGATGGTCCTTCTGGAAACCCCCACCAACCCTCTCCTAAGAGTCATCGACCTCGCTCGCTGCTGCAAGGCCGTGCGTCGCTTCGCACCGGACGCGCTGATCGTTGTAGACAACACGATGATGTCGCCCTATCTCATGCGTCCGCTCGAGCTCGGCGCAGATGTTGCGTACGACTCGGGCACCAAGTACCTCTCCGGCCACCACGACCTCATGGCCGGCGTAATCGCCTGTGATAGAGACGACGTCGGGAAGCAGATCTCCTTCACAATCAACAGTGTTGGCAATGCGCTGACGCCGATGGACTCGTTCCTGCTCCTGCGCGGCATCAAGACCCTTGCCGTGCGCATGGACCGCCAGCAGGAGTCGGCCGTGCAGGTCGCGCAGCATCTGCATCGCCTCGGCTTCAAGGTTAACTACCCTGGTCTTGCCTCGCACCCGGGCAAGGCGATCCACGACGCGCAGGCCGCCGGCCCGGGCGCCGTGCTGTCGTTCGAGACGCACGACGAGGATCTGTCCAAGCGCATCGTCGGCGCCGCGCGCCTCTGGGGCATCTCCGTCTCGTTCGGTTGCGTCAACTCACTGATCAGCATGCCATGCCTGATGAGCCATGCGAGCATCGATCCCAAGGTTCGCAAGGCGCGCAAGCTCCCCGAGGATCTCATCCGCCTCTGCGTCGGCATTGAGGATTGCAGGGACCTGATTGAGGATCTGCAGAACGCCCTGCTGGAGGCCGGTGCGATCCGCAAGAAGTACAAGCGCAGGCCGCAAGGACAGCCGCAGGTTCATGCTCAAGTAACTGGAGATAGACAAGGAGAGGATGAGAAGGAGGAGGAGGAGGTCGAGTACGAGCGAGTTCCAACCGAAGCAGAGGCGGAAGAAGCCAACTACCTTCGCTCAGGTCCAGGTAGCACCGGCGGCCTTGACGTCAATCGCCTCGAGACGCGCGGAGGCGACGACGATGAGGACAACAGTACCGATGCGGCTGACGTTGCCCCACATCCGCCTCGCGCGCAAAACATCAATTCGAACCTCAACACGGCCGTAGGGTCCGTCCTGATCGCCGATGCTTCCGCTCGCAGGGCCGGTGCCGGCTTCGCTGAAGACCATGTGCCATCACCGTCGGTCATTGTGTCTGCTCCGGGCAAAGTGATCCTGTTTGGCGAGCACGCCGTCGTCCACGGCGTCACAGCCGTCGCGGCGGCTGTTGCGCTGCGTTGCTTTGCACAGGTCAGCCCGCGCTCTGACGGATGCATCAGCCTGAATCTACTCGACCTGAAGGTCGAGCACATCTGGCGCCTCAACGATTTGCCGTGGGACCTCGTGCCGACAAAGGATGTGCGCGATGGAGACGATCTGGCCTCGCCCGATTGCCTTGATGCGCGTCTCAAGCTCGCGATCGAAAAGCTGGTCACGCAGACTGCGAAGGAAACTCAGAAGAGCTACGCGGCTTCAGTTGCTTTTATCTATCTGTACATGTGCATCGCTGGAAGGGAGCAGAAGTGAGTCATGCGCTCAGTCTGAGGCTTGTGTCAAAGGATATATGCTGACATCTGCGCCTCTCTTCTTTTTTGGTGTTCATAGCGGCGGGCAGTCCTTCTTGCTTCGCTCTGCGTTGCCTATTGGCGCAGGTCTAGGCTCTTCCGCTGCGTACTCGTCCTGCTTGGCCACCGCGCTGATTTATACGCATGACCACTTGCCTCGGCCCGCCGGCGGAGCAGCTGGCAGCATCAACGCTTCTGAAGCCTCGCTTATCAACGCTTGGGCCTTTCTCTCTGAGAAGGTGCTGCACGGAAACCCGTCCGGCGTGGATAACTCTGTCTCGGTGCACGGTGGCGCGCTGGTATTCAAGCGCGCGCACGCTCGCAACGGCCTGCTTGCCAACGAGATGCAGGCACTGCACGGCTTCCAGTCTGTTCGCTTCCTGCTCACGGACACCAAGGTGAGCAGGGATACGAAGAAGCTCGTCGCGAACGTCGGACGGCAGCTGGAAGAAGAGCCAGAGCGCATCAATGCGCGTCTTGCAACGATCCAGTCCATCTCCAATGCCGCGTCCAAGCTTCTTGGTACTTCCAGCAGTGCCTCGACACGCCAAGAGTTGCTCAAGGAGCTTTCTGCCCTCATCGAACAGAACCATGCGCAGCTTGTGGATCTACAAGTCAGCCACGAGTCGCTCGAGGCCATCCGCGCCACCACAGCTAGCGAGCCGTGGCAGCTGTCCACCAAGCTGACTGGTGCCGGCGGGGGAGGATGCGCCGTCACGCTTCTCCCGGACGAGCTTCTGCCCGAGCAGCTCGACGGACTCATCAGGGCGCTGGAACAGCAGGGTTTCGCGTGCTACGAAACGAGCATTGGCGGCCCTGGTATCGGTTTGCTGGTCAATCGAGGTGGCGAAGATCAGAATGCTGGCTTTCCTGCCGACCGCGCCTTGTTCGTTCAGGGCGACGGCAATAAGATTGCAGAATGGACAAAGACACATGGTCCCGATGCGTGGGCCTTTGCTTAAGAGAGAGATGGAATACTTGGTCCCTGCATCATGTACCGCAACTCTAGACACCCACAATAGTGATTTTTAAAAGGCTACGTAATGAAGTATGCGTTAGACTGCAAATGATTTTGCCAAACGTCAAATTATAGGCTCCCAGGATACACCGCAACCGCAGCCGGCACCTTTTGCTTGAGGGTTGTCCTTGATGGCAAATTGGCTCCCAATGAGCTCCGTAACAAAATCTATTGTCGAGCCTTTGACCAAATTGAGCGAGACCGAGTCAATGAAAAGTGTCACTCCTTCTGCGGCCTTGAAGTGACTACAAATGAGCAGAGGAAAGATGTACATATGGGGAGCTTTAGCGTCCACATCACCTTGTCTGCTTTTCGGCTGTAGCGGTGCTCACAAGTCATCGTCTTCGGCTTCGTCCGTTAACTCCATCTTGTACTGATAGCCGTGGCATCCGCCAGGCTCGACAGCTATCCGCAGCGCCAAATTGGGGTTCTTCTCCGTTTCTGAGACCTGCTTCAACTTCTGCAAGACCCAAGAGAGGCCCAGCTTGTCAGCCGCACGATTGCTAATACAATCTCCTGATGTTCACTCACTTCTTGCGCTCGTTCAGTCAGAATAATGTCAGGGTCACCGCTCTTGAAAACGTCCGGCTCTTCCGGCTCCGCCGGCTTGCGCACTAGCGTCACGGCCGACCGAGTCTGTTGTCCCCACGCACAGCTGCTCGGACCGCGCCTTTCTGATAGCCACCAAGAAGCTGCTGAATGAATACCGGAAGCTGCTTTTGCTGAAGCCCATCTACTGCCGGATGACTGCTTTGGCAACGCTGAATGGGTGTAAGATCGCGACTCAGTCCGTACTTGAATCGAGAACGGGATGACCGACGTAAAAGCGGGGATATAACCGCTTACGCAGCGACGACCGACCGGCGCCGCTGCTATGATTTGTCGACCAATGCACCTTTGGCAGAGCATTCTTTTCCCTCTGGAACGGACTTGCTGCAGATATATCTGCTGTGGAGAGTATTGAGCACTTGGAGGAAGTGATGGGACAATCGGAAAGCTAACACTAGCTCTGTGAAGGCACTGGGGATGGACGAGATGAGGTGAGCCTTCTATATCGGCTTTAACGTGGCAACCCTAACCAGCCTCCACCATGGATTGCACGGACCACACTCAAGCTCAATTCGAGTTGCGATACACCCCCCTTCTCTCATAGGACACCCACGCTGTTGTCTAACGTTGCCGGTGTCCATCCTGGCGATTGGGTCGTACGTTAAACCGCTTAGTGGCCTTTGTGCTGCAGGAGTTGCTGAAAGGCATAATTTGGAAGCTGCTCTCTGGCCAAATTGATCCACCGAGTCTGCCGACAACAGAATACTAAACGGCGCCCATCATGGATCCCCTCGACCCATCAGCGCTGTTGGAGACACTACCTACGCTACTCCCTGCGCGCCCCATTTCGGAATCTTCGGCGCCCGGGTTCACATCATGGCAGCTGCGCAATCCTCAAGATGGGCTTGCAGCGATGGCGCATACCATCATGACCCGTTTGGATTTCCGATTGATCAACCTTGGCGAGAGTCATAGGGTTACGCCGAGCTCGCCTGATTCATCTACTGTTGCTAACAGGCTGCCTAATGGTTGGAGCAGGGGCTCGCCGGATACATTCACGTTCGGATACAAACACGAACAGAGTAGCTTGGAATTCATTGTCAAGGTTATCAAAATGGCGAATAGGACGTTGTTTAACGCTACAGCTGTTGAAGTAAGCTTGCCTTATTTCTGCTGCGCAGCGCCGGAAAATGCTGACCCAGTAAATTCTGTACAGGATAGCAAGACTGCTACATATGAGCTGCAGACCAGCGACTACACTTCCGCCTCTTTCTTTCCTTACCCATCAAGTCCCTCGACAGGAGCACAGCCAGAACACCTGGTCAATGGCTTTATCTCGTCCTCGCGACTGCGCGACTTTGTCCTTGCATACAAGCAATTGATCGTGCAAAAGCTTGTGCCGGGCCTGCGCAAGGATGGCTACGAGGAGGGAACAAGCGAGGCGGAAGGATCGGGAAGCAGGCGTCTCGCCTCTGGGCAATCGCAGCAACAGCAGCAGCTCGATCAAGGCGAGAGGAGGCACTTCTATCCCGATGACCCTGTCGGTCCAAGGCTGCCCAACCGGCCGCCGTACTTTGACGATCCCGATGACCCAAGCACGCCTGACATTGGTGGTCGCAATCCGCTCATCATCGGTGATCGCGATCTCGACCCTCTCGGAGGTGCGCCATTTGCAGGTCCACATCCATTCGGCGGCGGCAGCTTCGGTCCACCTCCCCTGTTCCCAGGTCAACCACCAGATCATGGCGGAGGCATGATCGTCGGGCCGGACCATCCAATGTTCCGAGATCGTTTCCAGCCAGGAGGCTTCGGTGGGGGCGGTATGGCCGGTCTGCCACCCGGGGCTGTCCCTCCTGGTGCACGCTTTGATCCCATTGGGCCCTTTGGACAGGGACCTTGCGCTCCGCAGCCTGGCGCAGGAAGAGGTCGCAGAGGTCCGGCAACCGGAGAGCCTGATTTCGACGACTTTAGGCCTCCGAGAAGTGTGAGTTGAGAATGATCGTCAAAGCCGCGCAAGTCTGAGCCTTGAATTGAGCATAGGTCGTGTTCTGCGCACAGAGTGACTACGACAACATGTTCATGTGATCTTGACTAGGTTTGCGTTCGTTTGCCTCATGAGATGAGCTTTAGTCGTACGCTCTTAGGTAGCGCTGTAATGCAAAATGCAAAGGAATCATCAGAAGTCCGTACCCGGTTGACCAACAATCTGATCGAGCTCACCTTCGCGCAAGTAATCTAAATGCTTCACGTGCACTGCAGCAGCTTGTTGCACACCTTCACCACTCCATAGCCGCCGTCTTGAGTCGTGACCGTAAATTACGGTGCGATCCGGAATGGCCTCAACCTCGTCGTTCTCCTTGTTTCTTTCCTGTTGCTCTCCTTCTTCTGCCTCTGGCTTTTCAGTCTTGTCCCTTCCATCGCCTGCCCCTTCGCATATGCTTTCCTCCTCCTGGAAAATTGGCTTGTGCTCTTCTTTGAGAAGCCCTTCGGCATCCAATGGCCAAACTGGGTTGCCTGCGAGGACACAGCCTGCGCCTACGGTGCAAAATGACTCGACCATCACGTCTGAAGAGACAAAGCTGCGCACTTCAAAGACATTGTGAGACCCGACTGAAGCGGCTTCCACGCCTGATGTGACAAGAAGACAGGCAAAATTGGGCATCAGCCTCAAGCTGATGTCTATGTGCGAGCTTGGAGATACCCACGGGACCCGATCTCGAAATAATTGTAGTCGCCTATTCGCATCACATTTTCTCGTCTGACGTGTATGGTACAAAGAGTAGATAATCACGGGTTGAGTGGTGCACAAAATTGAAGGAAGACATTGCGCAGACTCACCGATTGACGATCACTGCGCCTTCTTCGATGATGCATCCAGATCCAATCACGATGGGGCCTCGTAGCGCCAAGATCGCTGCTTTCGGGTGGACGACCGTCTCCGTTCCGAATGTGACATTGCCTCGAATATCTGTATCCTGTGCGATGGTCACCTTCGATCCAACCGTGATTTTTTCGGCACTGTGATAGCAAACACGATGAGCCGCATCGTCGTTAGAACAGAACGCAACTTCGTGAAACTCACGACGTGGACGCAAAATTCGCGACACCTTCCCTCGACATTTTCGAGCTGCTTCGTGGTTGCCCCAGAGGATTTCTCCCAGCATAGATATGAAGGAAGATTCTGGCGAGAAGGCTGTGAGTTGGATGTACTTGTATGCATAGCCTACGAAGCAATGACATATGAGATATGAGGCATGCGAGTTTAGGAACAGCTCGCTGCTAGTCTTCTGCGTGCTCGCGCTTCCGCCTTGTTCGCTGTATTCAATGCGCGGTGTCCCGTGCCTGTGTAGCCCGACAGAACTCATTCCGCGATCCGCTCCCCTCGTCCAGAGCAACGCGTGTCCCTGGCAGTGTATGCAATGCTCACTACGGGCACAATCTTCGCTTCGAGGACCAGACTCACACATACGATGTGTGTATCCACATCTGGAGACGACTGACCGTCATTGAAGTCTATGATAAGTCGAAAACCTAAGCGCAAGAGCGGCTGGATGAGCAAATTGATGCAGTATACACGCCCCACGTCATGGTGACCGTCCCATGTGGTAACGGGCACATTCAGCCTCTTTCAATGTGTGACATGTGACAGTTCGGGTCTTGCCATGCACGTCTGGCGATCCAGGCTGCATTTTGCCATAGTCAATGCGGGAGCGTGCCTGCAGGCCTGTCTGCGGTGGGAGCACTGCCGATTTAGGGGGATGTGACGCGTCGACGGTATGTTTATAAAATTGTCACTCATCAGACGCGCAAACGACAACCAAAGCAGGATGTCTTGGCTGTGGAGAAAGCGAAAAGCGCAGCATCACATGACGTGATGTCAAGCCATGTCTATGCACGGCCATCGCTTGTGATCAATGGGGCTATCGAAGCGCGTTTCCCGACGTTCAAAGTGCCGTTGCACGTGGCGTGCGGTCGAAATCCGCGTGCATGTTTGGCTCAAGTTGGAAGCCCTACCGGCCAGTAGTTTGAATTGGAGCATCTCGGGATTCATCCATGTTCATCCCAGTATCAGCTCGTATATGATGACGACAGTATTGACGACGATCAGCGGTACTGCAAGACCACAATGTCAGAAGATCGCTTGGGAACATGGCAACGAAAGCTGGGGCCTTACTCCTTAATAGCATCCGAACTGCACTGATGAGACTGATTAGCCGCGCCTTGATGCTCGCATCTTGCGGGTGCCCATAGCCCTGGTCGAAGCCTTGCACTTGGTTGGCTGACCAACCGACTGTGTGATGCAGTGAAGGAACATCGAGATGGCAGAGGAATGCGTGTCAGCCACCGGTTTCGAAGCTGCCACAGAAAGCTGTTTCGCCTGCTGCACTTACCTCGAGCCAAGAAGCGCTCCTCGTTCAAGATTGCAATCGCGTTTACGAGCAGCAGCCCGGCGTAGACGATGCCGCCGAGGCCCAGCACCATCTCGGAATGCCACTTCTGACGCCTGGCTCAAGATCAGACCGAGATGCCTTCGGCCCGTCTCTCTTCGGTGCTGCAGCGTCTCCTGTACGTCCTTGTTGAACACCTAAAAGTAGAACTTTGCAAGTTGCAACACGTTACGTCTACGAAGTTGGTGGAAAGATGTTCAGGTCTTCAGGTGGTGTGATGGGTTGTGCGACGTGAGAGTGATCAGTGCCCGCACACCGCCGGATCGCCGGCGCCTCTCGCACAGAGTGGAGACGATGAGAGAAACCCTGCCGAGAACGCACACATTATTGTGGACCAGGTATATGTACCATCTCGAGCAAATCCGTCATGCTCTCCATCGGCAACGTCAATCGCAAATCAGTGCTTGAACCTGTGAGACCACAGTTAACTAGCACAAGCATGCTACATAGCCTGATCCCGCGGCTCCTTGCCGCCCTACCGGCGCTGATGCTCCTGCTCCTGAGCGGCGCCGCGCTGCCAGCATCAGCGCAATCACAGCAGGCCTCGTCCTCTCCAGCGCCGAGTGGTAGCTTCTCTGCCACCAATTCGGCAGTATCAGGTGAGAGTTAGCTTCCTCCCATCGGCGCAGGAGATGCTTGCACGCTGACTCGTCCTTGCACCTTGGCTGCGGATTTGCATGCACCTCAAGGCAAAACAACTTCTGCAGCTGCCACTTTCGCTCCATCCTCTACTTTTCTCTCGCTGACAACTAGCGTCAATGGCTCGACAACAAGCGTGTTCAATGTGACGTTGACTTCGAGTTCGACTTCGAAATTTACGCCGACGACGCTGCCAACCGCAGCTGTGAGTTTGTGCTCGTGCTCTGACCATCGCCAGAAGCAGGATGGAATGGTTTCAGATAGCTGACTATCATCGTGTCGACTCCCCTCCGCCTCGTCAGGTCATCACGGCAGGATCATTGGCAGGTACAGCATCAGCACCATCGCCAGGCGGAGGTGTAACAGCAGTAGGCCCGAATGATAGCTACGTCGTCAGCGCTGCCAAGGCGGTAATGACCCCGTTGGGCTTCACCATTTTCTCCTCGGCAGCAAGCGTCGCGCTTGGATCGTACCTTTTCCTTTAGAGTTCAACCCTCTACGGACTATCCCTCGGTGCACGCATGCGCTTGCTCTGAGGAGCCTTACGGACACTTCTAGGAACTTTGAACCTATACTTCTGTGCAGCCGAAAGGCCCCCGACTTTCTCACACACTCGCAGATAGCATTCGCATGTTTTTGTCCCTCGATATCGCATTGATGGCATGTGGTACATGTTGCAGTACATGCTACTGGCTCGATCACGACCGCTCAAAAAGTCTCCTCCTCGTCGAGAACAGCGGGTACCTGGGTGTCGGTGTGATGGATGAAGAATCGTCAGGGGCAATGACAAGGGCGAAGAGGCATTGTGCAAACTCACCTCGGCGCCTTCTGGGACCTCAAAGCCCTCTTCTGTGCTGTACAAAACATGCTGGATGCCCTTGAGTGTCTCCGCTTCTGCCCCTTCGGCTAGCTGCTCAGACCCCTCTTCCCCAGTTCCGAGCCGCTCCTGGACCAGCAGTTCGATCTCGCGGAGCTTGCCAAAGTAAAAGTCCCGCTCCTTCTCCAGACTATCGACGCTTACTTTGAGCTCATCCATCTGTGCCGTAAGCATGTTAAGCGCCTCGTTCGACACGCCGCCCGCACCGCCTGCACTGCCCGACGATGCGGGCGCACCTACGCGCGCTCGTGGTGCAGTAGACGCGCCGCCAATCGCGGGCTTGCGTGCTGCGCCTGTGGTCGTCGACGCTCGCGCGCTGCCTGCTGCGGCACGCGGTGCACCGCCGAGGTTACGCGCCGCGCCGACCGTCACGGCTCCGTGCAATGGTGGGGGAACAGCCGCCGCACCACCACGCCGCGCTTCCGGGTCGTATTCGTGTCCGGGGAAATTGCTGTCCCAGAATCTCTGCAGGCGTTGAGCGCAAATCACACGAGCATCTCAATGGGGGTTAGTGGTGTGTATGGATGAGCCGATGCACGGTTGCACACACCTTGCTCCACTGCAGCCATTCTAGGTTGTCCTGCATCTTGCACTTGATGAGACGCTCGACTGGGATCGGCTTGGAGATCTTGTTCCTCTTGAAGGCCTCCTGGAGAACCTTGAAGTTGTTCAGGTACTCATATTCCTGCTTGGCCGTCCAGTTGAGCTTGCCCATCGGTACATTGCCTGTGTAGCATGGGATCTGTTAGCACCATTGGTCTATCCTCGCTTCGCTAGGTCTTGCCAAAGCTAGTCGACTCATTTACGCACCGTAGATGCTGTCGATGATCTGCGCGTAAGCGGCGCCGGTACCGCACTGCTCGACCTTGGTGTAGCTCAACGCGAGCAGGTCGTTAAGCCACGCGATCAATTCTGTCCTGGATTCCCCCATGTTGGCTGCCGATTCCAGCGTGCGTCTGTGTCAGCAAGTAATGTCATTCATCTATGTGTGTATCGGTCTGGTGTTGCAGGCGAAGAACGTTAAAGAGGTATGAGGACTAGCAGATCAACACAAGGTGAAGGCCAAAGGGAGAGCGAAACGCGTCGGACAGAGAGTCACCCAGTGCCCCACTTCACTCAGTACGCGCCTGGCACTGCCCATTGGAAGAACCAGACGAGAATTGACAGGAGAGGGCGGAACAGCCATGACAGCTTGACAGGATGCCGCCATTCAAGCCGACGTTGTGTTGGGTTGGACCTCGCTCAGTAAGAGGACGATGACGATGGTGGCGGCCAGAAGGTTGAATGAAGAACTGCTAAAAAGGCAAGTGAACCCCTGCCAATAGCACCGGGAAGGACTGGACAAGGACGCACGACGGCTCAGGGTATGGTCGTGATGCCGCGGATAACATTCGTGCCAGGTCTGCTGCTGCTGGTCGGGTTGAACGCCGCGGGCTGCCTGGCTGCCGTGCCAAACGCCAATGATTGGCATCTCACAAACGTTGTCAAAAACCTTGAACTGCACGGTTCCGTATCGCAAGCGATAACGACGTACACCGTCAAGCGAGGCTCGGGTTCATCGGAACCCTTCTTCGTCGCCTTCAGTGCAGCGGAATACGAGAAGCTCGCCTTCGCCGATGCCATCGTCGATGGGCAAGGGAAGACCCCCACAGCTCTGCCGCTCCAGGATGAGGGTCTCGATCCAGAAGATCCCACGACGCACCTTGCCTCCTTGAACCTGCCGGAAAGCGCAGCTGAGGTCACCGTGTCGGTCCGATGCGCCTACAACCATCTCGTAGAGGCGCTCCCCAAGGTGATCGCTCAGACGGATCCAGTGCTGCTTATATGGAAAGGAGACGTGGGTCTTCGCACACCCTACGTAGCCGACAAGGGCAGAGTCAAAGTAATGTGAGTGACCACCGCGCTAGCATGAGATAAAAAGAGATATCTCTGACGACATGATGTTCTCGCTTGTATGCAGCACGCCGATCCAAAACGTTCCAAACTACACACCAAAGGACGAGACGGCGACCAAATCGGGCAACAAAATTACCTTTGGCCCCTACGAGAACATCCAACCTTACCGCTCCGCGTCGATCAAACAAGGAAGCGTGCACTACGAGCACCCTGTACCAGTTACCAGCGTCGTGACTTTTGACAGAGTCGCTGAGGTTTCGCACTGGGGAGACAACATTGCCATCGAAGACCGCATCTGGTTGCGCAACGATGGACCGGCACTGAAAGGTCACTTCTCGCGAATTGACTACCAGATGGCGCAGTTCAAGCAGAAGGGACAGGCGAGCACCTTGATCCGCTTCCGGGTGCACTTACCAGCCGGGGCGAAGGACGCCTACTTCATCGACCAGATCGGCAACGTCTCCACCTCGCGCTTCTATCCTGCCCCGCCTGCGCCGCATCTCATCGCGACACCCTCGAATTTGCTCGGCGAGAGACGGTCCTCGGCGCTGGACCTTCAGCCGCGCTATCCAATTCTGGGTGGATGGAACTATACGTTCAGCATTGGCTGGAACCAGAAGCTTAGCACGGGTGGCTGGGCCAAGCGGCTCGGAGCTGGCACCTACAGTGTCTCCGTGCCTTTCCTCACACCTGTCGGTGATGCCACCGCTCTCGACGACGTCAAGACCACCATTGTTCTGCCCGAAGGCGCAACGTGAGTAGCGATTTTTGAATGGGACTTCGCGCAAGCCCGCCGGCTTTCGGAGCAGCCAACTGACACATTCCTTTTTGCCTTGATGACTCACAGTGACATCAAGACGTTCCTACCCTTTGCGGTCGATAGCTTGACCCAGCAAAAGTACGTGACATATCTCGATACGGTCGGACGGCCTTCCCTCGTGCTCGAAAAAGCAAGGTGCTCCGAGAAGCACTCGCAGCTGGTCTACGTTCAATATCGGCTATCGCCAACTGCCCATTTGCGCAAACCACTCGCTGTCTCCACCGTCGCGCTCGGGCTGTTTATGCTTGCTGGTGCACTACGGAGATTCGATCCAAAGATCAAGGCGCAGTGATCTGCTGCCTACATGTATTCGTGCGCTCTAGTGCTGCTCGTGTTGGTCGCTCGCAAGATGCCTCAAAATGAAATAATTTGCATAGGCCAAAGCGAGATTTGTGAGATATACACAGTCGAGAAGATGTTATTTCCGATATGCGGAGCAAAAGGCAAGAGTAAGAGGCGACACAATCCGGCCCGTAGCCTGGACCTGATCACGTCCCGATGAGTCCGTATACCTAGCGAAGTTCTGTATGATTACATGGCTGTATTGTTCACTGTTCCTAGCCGAGTGTCGCGCGCGGCCGCCGCTTAGCGCTCGGGCATGACCACATCAGTACGCATGACCACCTCCGGGCGGTTTGTGGGACCAGCTGTCCGCGGCAGCGTGACTGGGAGCATACGGCCAAGTCGCACCTGTCTCTCTTCCTTCGTCGGCAACATCCACCTCTTCACGGGACGGTGCTGAAATTTCTCCGCGACGGTAGCCCGGCCCGCCACCTTGGGGAGTGTGCGAAAAATCGTCGCCGGATGGAGAGCCTTTGCCGCCGTCGTGGTGGACGTGTTCGCCGCCACGGGCAGGTTCGCGGTTGTTACCGCGTCGCGCTACGAGCGATGCCTTTCCTGGCACTACTGCTGATGCAGCACCGAGAGGTACTCTGGCTTCGCGCAAGATGGATGAACGCTCAAAAATGTCCATGTCACGGTCGTCGTCCCGTTTGAAAGACGGGCCGCCGCCTGGTGGCGTGTGAGAGAAGTCATCCTGGCTGGCCGAGCCGTGATTCCTGTTGTCCAAAAGGCTGTCCGGCCGGCCTGAGCATAGGTCAAATTGACTCAGCGTCATTATCATTCTCCCCTCGCGGCAGCGTTGCTGCTTCCCAGATGAAGCTCGACTCACTATCAGTGCGGGGCCTGCTGTCAGGAGTTGCTTGTGCGACGGTCGCGAAAAGCGACGCGCCTGTGAGGATGAGGGTTGTTTTGGACCACAGCATCGTTGTAGCTCGACAGAAACTGGTACCCCAGCTCTTTCAAACGGGCGTGCTATACAGCGATAACGTGGATGGGGGGAGGGGGATTAGGATTGATGCAAGGCTGAGATTTCGGACAAGCGATCAAGGAGCGCCTCTGTCGTGTTATTAAACAAGTTTTCCTTGAAAAACAGTGACGGGTCAATTGCGATTGAGGGGTTGAGGATTGATCAGCAAAGCCTCTATGAACATGGGCCTGCATGTATACCAGCCTGGATCAGGAAGGGATACATACATATATCGGCAAGTGGCAGACCCGTACGCACTTTAGGCGGCCCAACTAGGTGGTCTGATGGCATCCAACTTGCCAGGACACAAGGATCAAGAGATTAGAGGGCTGCCTGCATCGAGAGCAGAGTTTCGCATCGATCAACGTCCGGCGGTAGTCGGCTGCTCAAGGTGAGCCACAGGCAAGGCAGGTCTGCAGAGGCACCAGCTGCTGGCCGCGCCGACGATGTTTTGGCATAGGACTCAAGCTCCTCAAAGTCTTCCCCTTTCCCATCGTCCTGCACCTTGGCCGCATGCGGCACAGAGTACGCAGTCTGGCACACTGGCACAGTCACATTTGTCTACTCGCTACATTGGTTAGTCAGGTCCGCCGTGGTGTCCACTGTCCTGTCATCGCAGACCAATGCTAATTTGTCTTTGCTGGCAAGCCCGGCTGTTCGAGCATAGGATTACATAGGACGACTGTTGGATGCTGCCAGGGAGGGGCAACCACTATTATCATGTGGCCGAATCATGCGCTCTGTTCTCGCGGCTGGTGCTGATCAAGGCACAACAGCACAGTGTGAGAGCGAAAGGCTGGATGTGGATGTTGGATGTTTGGACAGCATGCCGTGCTAACGGTCGGCTGGAAATGAAAAAGAGACACCCCTTGCGTTTCGGCGTGTGGTCACAACGCGACGCGTGGTCCAAGTGCAATAACCCTAACCTTGGACTGGCACATTCCTCATTTCTTTCACGTGATGCTTCAACGCAAATGACCTTACCTAAGTCTCCAACGCTCTTCCGCCCTGGTCCGTGAATTTTTTGGATCCAGTTCCATTCTGATCGAACCTCGTCGATATCTTCGGTGTCCGTCGACCTTTGAATTTGCCATTTGATGCATTGAAGGTTTGACAACTTGTCCGGATCTTGTGGTAAGAAACTTGAAGGGCCTCGATTCACCCAGCATCTCACTTCGTTGCTGCTACAGTACCTTCCGCGGCTTCCAGAATGCAGTCTGACGATGTCATCTGGTCCGTGATCGGGCATCAATTTTGCTCGTATAAGATCAAGTCCACGACTCACTCGACTTTTTGCCGAAATGAATACAACCTGACCGGTCTCTGCAATCGCCAATCCTGCCCTCTTGCCAATGCACGCTATGCTACGATCCGAGAGCGGGAAGGAATCGTATATCTTTATGTCAAGACGGCCGAGCGTTCGCACCTACCATCTCGGCAATGGGAGCGCATCAAATTGAGCAAGAACTATGCCCAGGCTCTGGAGCAAATCGACAAGGAGCTGGTGTACTGGCCAAAGTTCATCACGCACAAGACTAAGCAGCGTCTCACCAAGATCACACAGTATCTCATCAAGCTTCGCCGAATCAAGCTCAAGGAGGAGGATCAACCGAGACTGGTGGGGATCAAAAAGAAGACAGAGAAGCGAGAGGCGACGCGAGAGAACAAGGCACTGAGAGCTGCGAGACTAGAAAAGTCAATTGAGAAGGAGCTGCTCGAGCGACTCAAGAGCGGAGCATACGGAGATGCCCCATTGAATGTCAACGAGGACGTCTGGCGTGCCGTGCTCGATCGGAGGCGTGAAAAGGAGGAGGCAGAAAAAGAGGACGAGCTTGGCCTGGAAGACGAGGAGAGCGAGGAGGAGGACGAGGAAGACATGGAACAGATGGAGAAAGAGTGGGAGATGGAGGATGGGGAGGACCACGAGGGCGTGGGCGATCGCGAGTTCGTCAGCGACGATAGTGAAGATGATGATGATGACGAGTTGGAAGACATGGACGGGTTCTTTGACTCGGTGAGTACCGCCCCTGCGCCTGTGTATCTTGGCCCGTGCGATTTGGCTCACCTTGCACCGCTTGCGCACACTATAGGACGGAAATACGATCGAATCAGAAGATGACGACGAGAATGATGAGGACGAAAGTGATGATGGGGACGATGATGGCACAGAGCCCAAAACAAGTGGTTCTAGCAGGCGCAAGCAGGCGCCAACAGCCCCTGCAGCACGTAAAAGTGACCCCTCTAGCAAGAAGCGGAAAGGTGGCAAGAAGGGTGAGTGTTCCTGTGCGCTTTTCAACCGGCTTTGGTACACCTGGGCGGGTTCCTTGTATTCATCGCCTTCATTTTCCCATTGGCAGGCGGTCCCGGTATGGAGATCGAGTATGAGCACGAGACCGAGCCGCTCACTGCAGAGAAGCTGGCTAGCTGGTGATCTGCGCGTGCCGGGGTACACCTACGTTCGCGCGGATCGTTTGTTCAGTTGCAATTACAGCGAGTCTCTCGATTGTGTCACATCTCATATGCTGCAGGCACGACATGACTTTGGGGGCATCTATGCTACAGAGTGAAGCGCAAGCCAAATGAAGCATTAGTACATGCTGCAAATAAAATGAAATGAAATGGATGCGTGGAGAGCAACATTAGAGCGGAGCTACTGCCGCGGAATTGACAAGTAGAACGATAGCCTTCTGTTCCGGCGAACCATCATCAGCGCCGCTCTAGTGTCCAGCCGTACGGGAGCATGCTGGTGAATATTGGGCCCATCATCGGAGGGTACATCGGGAATCTGGCCGTTTAGATTGGGAAATGAGAGAGGTCACCCCATGCCTTGGCACCCGCAAGAGTATGAACATTCTTGCCGCTAGTTTTCCTGCTTTACGTGAGCCGAATGCCATCACATAGGTGCAGATGCAGTGCCTCTACTGGCTCCTCCGAACCCTTGCCAGCAGGCGACGAAAGCCATTGGCGTCCGTATTGTTCACTTGCAGCAGTTATTACCCCTGCTTCTGCTTCGACGTGTGCCTCTTAGTCCTGGTCGTGTTGCGCACTGGCGCAGGGACTCTCGGACCAGGTGACGCTGCCAGAAGCCGTTGAGTGAGTATGGCTTCGGGGCCACGACTGGCCTCCTTCTGGTGTGGGGCAGGGGGATCTGACACTTGTGCTGGTACAAGGTTCGCCAGCTCAGCCTTCTCTGCGTCATCGCTAGACCGAGGTGACAGTTCGCTATTGTTCTTATTCAAGGATATTTGCGAAAATTTTCGATTCAGAAGCGAACGTATTCGTTCGTGCTGCGTTCGAACGACCGTTTCACCGCCTTGTAATTGGCGTCGAGCAGGGGTACAGAGGGGACGGTTGGGATGAAAATGCTGATTCCGGATGCGCGGAAAACGAGGCCACACTGAAGCATAGTGAAGCCGTGCTTGTGTTGGAAAGCGCACGCGATGATGCTGGTCAGCATGTAGTACGTGTATGGCAGTGCGCTGATGATCAACACGAGAAGCGCCTCTGGCACGTGGAGGGACCGCAGCGGCTGTAGGAGTCGACGGAGGAGTTTGTGCGCTCTCGACTCATCAGCAGGAGCCGAAGGCGGATGGGAAAGGGAGCCGTGGGACGCCTGTGCGCTGGAAGATGGTTTGCCCGCATAGCAGGCACCAGATCGCTTCATGGAAGACCGTGGAACGCGGTACGGAGCCATTGCTAATGAGCTTTAGTGGGGAATATGGTCAGGTGGCGGGGCGGCAGAAATGTGACTGTCAGGCATTGGGCTTGATCGGCGTTGGCGCACTGCGATACGACGAGCAAGGATGGACTATTCACTCTGGCAAAAGGGTGAAAGCAGAACCAGGGATATGGCCCTGACGATGTCCAAGAAGAGAAAGTTGCTCCTCCAGCCGACCTAGGCCATGAGCAAACATCCAATGACGGTTCCTAAGCTGGGCCCGACCGATACGCCAGATTGGAAAACGTCCATGACACTGCCGTAATTTCTGGCATACAAATCACCACGAGTCACATTGAAGGCATCAGCATGAATAGCATAGAAGAATGCAGTGACGGCTCAGACTCATTCTGGCAGGGTGAGGTTGCCGATGCTCCTACTACCGATGCTGATGGCGCTTGCCCTCCCGCAAGTTTGAAACGCGCGTAGCATCATCAGTCCGGCGTACACTGCCCCTGACAAGTGAGACGCGTCCACAGGAGTAGCCACAGGCCAAGGTCGGAGCCGAGGAAGAGGTCGAGGAAGGCGATGTAGATCGGTCGTCTCCCGAACATATCGGTCAGCGTGCCGAAGCAAAGCGACGAGATGCCCTGGAAGTTCATGTAGATCGTCACGGATAGGTTGGCCACTTCGGCCGTGATGTGCAGATTGCACGAGACGACCAGGGTGGCGGGTAGGTATGTACTCGCCGTCGGGGGCGAGAAGAAACGGATGAGCGTGATAATGCCGATGATCGTTCAGCGTTCGGCTGAGGTGAAGATCGTGTGAGGTTCGGACGTTAATGCCATGTAGTGCGTTTGGCTCGCGTCAGGCATCGGCGCCGGAGTCGGCAGAAGCAAGGGCGATCCGCCCAGCTCGGATCTACTCGCTCTCGCTCATCTCCACTCTGCTGCAGCCCCTGCGGTGGCCGTGACGCATTTGGCGGGCCGACGATGGATGGCATGACTTGTGGGCTTTTCACTTGCGCCGGATGCACAGATGCAGAAGCGCAGCGTTCATGCTGCTCTTCACCTCTTCCGATTGCCTTGAAGCTGGTCATGATGAGGGTAGGGTGAAAATGGCTGACGTGCGCTTGCGGCAAAGACCAAGATTGCGAGGGATGTCACTGTGTGATCCCAAAGGTGTCACGGTAGCTGCGTTCCAGCGACTGCAGCTTGTTCTCTAGTGTTGAAACGCATTCGACGAAGATAGGTTACACCGTCTATACACTGGAGGTGTGCTATTGCGATTGTTCCCTTGGCCATCCCAGCCTGAGATCATCCGCACCGACATCGAGGGGATGTGGAATGAATGTTGTTCGCAACGAAAGTGAGCTTTGGTGCGGCTGCGGCACATCAAGGGCTGCTATCGAAGCGCCATGGAAAAGAGCAAGTGAATCGCTGGTATCGATGGGAAGCCCTACCGGTCGCTGCTCGTTTTCTGTCCCGTGCATGTGGTGAGCCAGAGCGGTGCGCTGTTAATTGCGCGGCACCCGCGCCGATATTAGTCCTAAACGAAGAGGTGCACACAGCAGCGACCCGTCGGTGCATGTGGCTGCGCCACCAGCGAAACTGGGAGCGGTGTTTATGTTCTCGGACAGATTGCGATGTGCAGATCATCCTATCCACGTGATCCACCTTGTCCTACTCATAGCACACTTGTGGAGTCAATGGAGTGACACACCGTGTCCACCTTTCGGTCGAAATTGGGGGCGGTCGGGCCACACGGAGGAAAGCGGGCGACTCGGACCAATATGGCGGGGGGTTACGTCATTGATTCGGGGGATTTGGCAGAGGGGTTCATCTTTTCCCGAGGCGTGACTTCTGACGCCAGCGGCAGTGGCCGGATGGGTTTGGTGGGTTTGGACATGTCACAGTGCAGATAGCTGACGCCGCGGGACCCGCATGCGAGAGTGTAGAACGTATGGCCGCGTCCATCCTGTCTGCTCAAGGAAAGGCACAGCCCAATGCGCCGAGCCGGGAGAGGTGCTGCGGCAACCATACGCAGAAGACTTTATCGAACGCCCAATTTCCGGCTTGGCGGTGGTATGTGTCGAGGATGGAGCACAGCCCTTTCCAAAGGGCCCTGCGCGCATTCTATGTGCGGCGCTGGCACTTGGCAGCCCTGATTCAACTGATGCAAACCCTGCACCGAGACATGGATGTTACACTGCGTGCTTGAGACGCTCGCGAGGCCAGGCTCCGAGCTTGCCACAACTTACGAACTTGACGCGTTTCTTTTTAGAGGCGCTGTACAAGTACACACACAATGTAGACCGTGCTTCATCTGTCGGGTCCCCTCGCACCACTCCCTCGTCACCTGATGTGCGGATGCGACTTGCCGGTCCATCATTTCCTTACGCCCGCTCGCGAGCGCGCCGCATATGAACATGGTATCCGCGCTTGTAGTGCGCAGGCGGGGAGCTGGGAAACGAGAAGGATGTGATCCTGACTGTCGCTGGTGGACGAGGGAGGCACGTTTGGTGAGGGGTATCCATTGTAGAGTTGGATGGACGAGCCTTCTATGTGCGGTCGCCCCTCCGCCCGCCAGTGATGATTGATAGGGTGAACAATGTGTGTGATCTGCAAGCCAGGGGACGAGTGCACTCTGACTGGCTGGCTGGCCAGCTGCCGCGGCCCAACTCGACGGGGCTGGGCTGTGTGCCTGGATGGCTGTGGGAGCACGGACGCAATGCGGGCCCGCCCATATCAGCGCAGCTGAAGCGAGAGTGTGCTGGTCCTCCCCGCTCTGTACCCCCTTTCTGTGGGCCCTGCTGCGCTGACATGTTGGCAGACGGGATCTACAGCTCAGATTGGCAACCAGTCCTTTACCCCACAATTCGTGTGGGATCGGAGCGTCGCTCTCTCAGCTGGGAACATCTCTTTTACATGCATCCCACCCACCCACCTCACCATCCTTGTAGGGTTGCCAGAACTGAGGCCAACGTCGATATTCGCATTAGGGTTACTTGATCTTCCAAACAACATAAACAACACCATTTGTCATTCTCTCCCTCC